ATGACCGTAGGTAAGTATGGGGATAAAGATCGACTTGAATATTGAGAGCTTAGTTTTCAGAATGAGCTCTCCTTTAGCCGCAGTGGATCAAGCCAGTTCGCGCAGAACGCCGCTGGCTACTCCAATTCGCCGGTCATTCTCTTCCAACAACTTTCCATCACTAGTAAATGCAATTCCGAGGTACTTGAACTTCTCCACCTGCTCCGCTGTCTCTCCGTCAATGTGAAGAGAGCAACGGGCAGGAGAACGAGAAAATACTAGTTTTCGTTTTAGATGCGATCACACGCATGCCGGTCACGTCGCACTCCGCAGCAAACCTTTCTCAGGAGCATCGAAGATCAGTTTCAGAACATGCTAATGAAACAAAGTCGTCTACAAACAGCAACCTTCCAGTCTTCACATCCCCTACACCGATACACTCATCGCCTTGGCTGCTCCTGACTATTCTATCCACGTATAACACAATCAGGATAAGGGACAGAACACAGCAGCCTTGCAGGAAACCAGTGCCATCGTTGAAGGTTTTGACTTAACGCCTTTGGCTCTGACGCAGCACCAGCTACCAGAACACAGCGATTGGATGGCTTTTAGCAGCTAGTCATCTATCCCATATCCTCGAAGTCATGACCACAGACTGTTGCGTGCGATCCGGTCTTACGGTTTCTCTAAGTCCACAAAACATGTACACCGGCTGGGCGTACTCCCACGGTATCTCAACAACCTGGCGCAGGGCAAATATATGGTCAGAGGTGCTTCGACTGGGCCGGAAGCCACACTGCTCTTCTTGGATCTTGAGGTCAACTATTTGACGGCACCTCCTTTCTAACACCTTTGCGTAGACTTTACTTGGGAGGCACAATAATGTTATGCCCCTATAATTGGGGTATTCTTTGTGGTCTCCCTTCTTGAATACGGGTACATGACTCCCGTTCTCTAGTCCGCTGGTGTCTTTCCCGCAGTCGTCGCAATTTCACAGACACGTGTTAGCCAGCACATGCCTTGTTCGCCTAATGCGTTGAGAATCTCAGGGCATATTTCGTCAATTCCAGCAGCTTTTCCATTTCTCAAACTTTTCGCAGCTTGCGTCATTTCATCTACGGAGATAGTTATATCCGTACCCTTCTACTCTACAGGCGAGTCTTCCTGCCGTTGCGCGGGGATAAAAGGTTCCTTAAAATACTCCCTACATCGCCGAAGAATCTCATCATCCTCATCATCCTTGGTAAGAGGTTGTCCAGATCTGTCCCTCAAGACTCTGAGACTGCCCGTCTTTTCACCTCGGAGACGGCGGATGGTCTGCCAGAATACTTTGTTTGCCGTGTGGAAATTCGACTCCAACACATAGAACTTCTCCCAGGAATCAGCTTTAGCTCTTGCCACTGCTATGGCTGCCGCCTTGCGTGCCTCGACATATCGCTTGTTTCCAAGCCATTTCTTGAACGCTGCTTTCCTCTCTTTAACTGCCAGTTCTACCTCTCGTGTCCACAATGAAGATCTGTTCTGACCTCCAGGCGGAAAGCCAACCCGTTTATATCCGCAGCATTCGGCGGCAACCTCGAGTATGCCGCTCCTAAAGAGCTACCACGCGATTTCTACATCAGTTGTCATCGCTGGGATCTGTTCAAACCGTCGTGCGATGTTGTTTGCAAATTTCACTCTCGTGT